ACTCTGTTATTAAATATAACCAATTTTTATTTAGAACATATTATAAAGATGTAATGTTACTGGATGATATTGAGAAGAGCTAACGGAATGCCATTATGTAGTTTTGCTTTAAATCTGGAATATTTTATATAAAAGGACATAAAAACAATTATAGTATGATGATAGTAATATATATAAATATATTTGATTTAAAATATATGATTTGATATGAATTGTAGGTGATGACTGTGGAAGGGATGCACAGAAGTTTTTGTAACCAATCGACACACTTTCTACAATTGGAAATGGAAGGTAGTTTTGTGTTTTTTTTCTGGGTGTTTTGTCTTTTTGTGTTTATTCAAAAATAAAAAAAATTCTTTAAAAAATAAAATATAATCTTGGCATTTAATTATTCTAATTCTACTTATGGATCTGCATTTTATAAAATAACAAAGTGGTATCAAAGCATGTTTAAAAACTAATACTATTTTATTTTTCTCTCCCCTTACTATTTTTCCCTAAAGTGTTTTTCCCAATTTCTTCAAAATGTTACTTTCTTTTCTAAGCTGCTTTTCTCAATATGCTGCTCTTTAGACATACTGGCCATGCTATAAATGTTGCAGTCTCAATATATCATATTGAGCAGCATATTGGGAAAGATTCAGAATAATCATTTTTACTAGAGCCTAAAAATAGATGTGGATTCAAGCAGTTGTTGCTACAGCTTCATAAACGGGATTAAACATTGCTTCATTCTATAGATGACTAGCAAGAGTAGCTGCCTCCAGTCTCAGCTTATTTTTAAACTCTTGTTAGCATGCTATGCTGTAAAAACATAATCCTATTTCATAAGAAATTTACTCTACTTTATCAGTAACAAATATGGAAATTAAAAACAGTGTAAGATGATTTAAAGAAGGAAGGTGAGTTAAAAATTTAAATATAGATGTGAAGAAATGTGTTTTGGTCCCAGCATTTACTCAATTGCACCACAAAAGTTAATAGATGTTCACAAATCCATAAGACAATCATTATTGAATAATATTCCAAAATATAGTCACGACAAAGTTGCAAATTACAGTGAAAATACAACTTTATACTTCCTAAAATGAACACTTATTTAATAGGACATGAAATAAGCTAACCCCACGAAGCATTCCTTTATATTTTCAATCTAATGAATGTGTGATTTTGATTTGAGAACAAAAAAAACAAAAAAATAACAAAAGCAATTAAATCCTTTTTGTAGTAAACGAAGGTGCCAGATTTATTTTAGAAATTTAAGTCCTTCTAATAAATTTGCTATTTATTTCATCTTAAACTATGTTGTGTAGATCAGTTAAACTTTTAGTCAAATTGTACAGCAAAGTTAATTTGGAGAAAAAAAAACCCTCACAAATATCCATAAAAGCAAAGTGTGTGGCTTACTTGTTCAATTTCCTTTGTCTTTTGAGCAATTGCCTTTGAGCGACTAAGATGATGATTGTCTTCAAATAATTGATTGCTGTCTGTTATACTAGCACCTGTTTCTTCATGGTGGTCTATATATAATGGATCTGAGGATGTGGCCTTTAAAAATAAAAAATAATTTTATGTGGCTAAAACCCACTATATGAAATATTGTTAAGTTAAATAACTGTCATTAGTTAACTGCATTCACAGTTCACATTGGAAAAACAATCAAATTTATTCTACGTATGAAATATGTATGTACACTTACATTAAATTAGGTATCAAAATATCTAGTTTACCCAAATCATTGGGTAAACAGTACATATTTCAGATCGTATGTGTTGTGAAAGCAACCAGATGTATTACACTGGAAAGTTTGGTCTAGTGATTGAAAACCAGTCTAGAAACTTGAAGACCAGGAGTTCTAAACCCCCCTTAGCCACAAAAATTAACTGGATGACCTTGGACCAGCCACCCTTTCTCAGCTCAACTCATCTCACAGGATTGCTCTTGTGGAGAAAACAGGAGGGAAAAGTATTGTTATCTTTGCTGCCATTAGTTATTTATAAAAATAATAAAGATGGGATATAAATAAATAAATTTTAAGATATTACCTTTCGGATTTTAAACATGGATAAAGCAAAGAGTACAAATGAACTGAAATCAAATTATACTGAGGAGTACATACAGTTTTAGTAATAGAGTTACTGTGGAAGAAGAAAGAGGAATTTGAAAAGAATACGAGGTCCATCTTTCCAGATCTTTTCAACAAAAGCTGTGCAATCCTCACTGCCTAACCTTCAAGCACATTTTTTTTTCCTTTTGGGAAAACAGCTTTGCATTTTGGTGACAACCTGGATCTTGAACTAACTGTGATTTTTTTTCAATCTTTCTGAGATCAAATTTTAAATAAATGCCAAAAGCCTAATCATACACTAAAGAAACATTTTACTCAGATAATTAAGCAAGATTATTTAAGAAAAAAAATGATAGATCATTTTTGGTATGCAAGGATAAGAATAATATCAGATCTGGGGATGAAAATAAAAGAAAGTACATTCAATATCAAAGACAGCGTTCCACCTTCTGTTTCTCATTAAACAGTCCAAAACAATAGGTAGCCCTTGTCTTACAGTCATAACTGGGATTGGAATCTGTCACATCAGTCTGTTCGTAAAACAAGATGTCATGTGACTGCAGCAACTTATGATAATCATCACAATGTTTGCCGTTGTAACCATTAACTAAGATCATGGGTCATGAACTGAGTATCTACCCAAATCCAAGCCTCAGTAAGGTAAGGAACTGCTTTCAATTTTCCCATCTGCTGA